AAAAAAAAAAAAAAAAAAAAAAGAAAAACCGTGAGCAAAAACAGGAAAACAAAAAGTTTCCACAAAGCATTTTTCTAGGTGATGGCTTTAAAAAAAACAGAAAAGAAACGAAATCCTCTCTACTCCCCCCTCCTCCTCCTCCTCCCCTCCAAATGAATCGTGACTGATGTTACACTGGGGAGAGGGAGCTCGAGAACAGATGTCCTGGAACGTTCTGGGTTCTTTTTTTGTTTTCTTTTTGTAAAGAAACACTATCTTCTTTGTAAGCTGGGGAAGATGGGGAAAGAAATGTTTCACAGCTGGGATGTTTCTTACCTTGAGCACTCTTAAAGCCCTGGCACAGACGTGGCCATCGCTGCCACGTCACCAGGAGGGCACTTAGGGCAGAAATGGCCGGGTTTGGGTCGTTCTTGTCACCTTCCTTCCCCCATCTTTGCCATCACAGTTGCTTTCTAGATGGAGATCAGCATGGCTTTCAGTTCCAAGATGCCACTCTGGTTTTGGCAAGTGTTCTGTTGCTGCTTGTGTTAGTTCCTTCCGAGCCATCCCCTTCCTGCTGCAGCCGAGAGCTCCGAGGGCTGCTCCGGCCCTCTGGTAGGCACTTCTCCCTTAGGAACCTTCTCCTTTTCTTTGTCTCCTTATTTTTATTTTTTAATTATTATTATTATTGTTTTTGGGGGTTTTTTTTTTGAGTTGTGCTCCTTTACAGTGTGAGAATCATTCCATGACAGAAGCCTGGGAGGCGTTTGTATGTTTTTTCTTTGATCCTATTAAAGAAGAAATTCCCCAACCGCCTTTGGTTGTCGTGACATCCTTTCCTTAAGTAAAGACTGAGCCTTTTGAGTTACTCCCAGGGAAGAGGAGTGCGAGCCCTGCATTCGACTGGACTCAATTCCCTGAGGATTGAAGGAGCATTAAAGGCAAAACCAAACCCTAAAGTATTGAGTGGGCAGCTCCCACTTGGACGCTTGGGAATCGCCTCCGGTCGAAGAGCTGTCGTGGAGCAGCGTTTTGGGAAAGAGCCTGATCCAAACTGAAGTCACTGGAAAGTCTTCCACCTTCTTTGGAGGACCTCAATCAAGTCAGAGGGAGAGAACAAGGCAGTGCTAGGACAGAGCTGGAGAGGGGTGGGGTGGAGGTGGGCGAGGGCAGTCGGACCCTCCCCTCCTGCCCCGGAACGCTGCACTGCAATCTTTTCCACTTCATTCCCTGAAATTACTGGATGGAGAGAGAGAGAGAGACACAATATTCTTGGGGTTTCATTATTATTTTTTTAAGCCCCTTTGCGAGGTGGCCGTTGTTCTGGGGAGAGAGGCTTTTTAAGCAACGCTCTGGCTGGATCTTGAAGGGAATAAGTGGGAAGGATTTGTGGGCTGGCAGATGGTAGATTAGCATCTTAAGAGACTCCGTGGGTATTAAACTGTCCTAGTGAAAGAGTGGAGATAGAATAAAGCAATTTCATTTTTTTTCTCTTTTTTTTCTTTTTTTTTTTTGTTTTTAAACTTTGGTTTTGTTCTCCCTTGAGAATTGGAGTTCCCAGCCCTCCCTTCCTGCCTCTGCTACGGGTTATTTTCTGTGTTGCGTGGCCGCGCGTGCGTGTTTGTAAGACCTTGGAAAAACAGGGTTGTGTTTTGGGTTTTTTTGGGGGTTTTTTTGGTTGGTTGGTGGGTTTTTTTTTTTAATTTCTGAATTTTTGACGTTTTCAGTAGATGTCTCCACCAATAAAACCAAACTGAGACTAATAAAAGTTTCAAAAAATTGGCAAGGTTCTTCCAAGCCTCGGCTGTTCCTCCTCCAGAGCTGTCTCCTGTCGGTTAAAATATGATTTAATAGAAAACTTGCTTGTATAAAAGACTTAAGAATGTTGCCAGGCTACGAGAGAAATATTTAAAACAATTGAAAGAGAAATTTAACCAGCAGAGGATTTTTTTTTTTTTGGAGGTGGGAGGGGAAGGGGTGGGATGGGATGAGTGGTTGTTGGGGAATTTCCTCTGCATGTTGAAATCCTGACTGCAATAGCACCATTCCTGTATCCATGAGTACTACCTTTTTAAAATACTATTTATACTGTAAAAACAAAAATGTGTTTCCTCCCTGGGTGCAGGGGGTTTTCCCTCTTCTTTTTTTTTTTTTTTTTTTTGTGTTGATTTTTAAATCCCTCTTTTTGGATTAGGAATGACTTGTGCAGATTTGGGGGAATGACCACGTTGATGCCCCTTGGGCATCAGACTCTTGAAAAGGAAATAGGAAATGCACATTCCTACCCCTCCCTCCAGTGAAATATATTTGTAAGTGTCTGATTATGTGCTATAAAAATAATGATTTTTTTTTTTCTTTCTCCCCCTAGATTAAGGCTGTGATGTATTTTTTGCCTATTTTTTTTCTTTGCCTCTAGGTTCAAAATGAATTAAAGGCTGTTGAGCATTTCAGAATAACACTTTTTGGGGGGTTGAAGTCTCTTCATTTCTAACTTTAAAAAGTCTCTTGTACAGCAGGAGGAGGTGGCTGATAAAACTGAGCCAAGAGAAGCTGAGACTGAGGAAGAAGAAGGTTTTTTCCTTCCTCTCTGGGGTCTGTGCAGGAGCAGAGGTCTGTCAGTGCACCCCTTCCCAAAATTAAGAACCAAGCTTGCAATGCACTTTTGTCCAAGGTCCAGAATTTGCTCCACCTGGCTCATTGAGAACTGTGCCTGCTAAAGAGCTAGAGGTGGTTCCAAAATCCTTCATCCTTAAATCACCAGTTTGCTACTTCCTTTTTTGGGATCTGCTTCCTCCCCTTTCCAAGCCTTTGGAGGATGTTGAACCTCCTAAAACAGCATCTTCCCCAACCTTCATTTGAACACCTTGATTTCCCATCCTGAGCCCTGATACTTTCTGACAAATTCCTCTCCAGCTGTTGCAGGATGAGGCTGATGCTGCAGGTTATGTGAGATAAATCTCCAGCTTCCAGTCTTTTGCAGATTAGTAGTTTTCCTTGAGATGATCTGAGGAATGGTCCTGGTGGGAAGAAGCTGCTGATGGGAACTCCTTTGGAATTTGCACCCACACAAAGCTTACTTTGGGGTTTAAGGTCTGCTCTATTGCTGTACTAAGAACTGATATCATTTTAAAGATGTCTTAAGAAGCAGCACAAGCTTCCCAGGAGCTGCCTGGATCCGGGATCAAAAGGCAGGAATCAACCTGGCAGGGTGGAAGAGGGGTTTCCACCCAACCCCGGAGTCACTGTGGGTTTGTGTCCAGCTGAGATTGCTGTGCTGGAATCTGGATGAGGTGGGGTTAGAGGAGATCCTGCTGGGCCCAGGGAGTCCTCAGGGAGATGATGGGAATGCTGTGAGTGCTGGAATGTTGGCTTGGCTTCCTGCGCTTCCCTCTGGCTGAGTGCTGGTCGGGGCTGGATGGGGGAGTGTGGATGAGCAGTGTGCCCAGGGGGCCAAGAAGGCCAATGGATCCTGGCCTGACTCAGGAACAGGGTGGCCAA